TATTGAGATCGCGGGTAGGAGGCGCATGACAATCTCGCTTTACTGCTGGCATATCTCTATTTCCCTTTGGTCCCTTTAGCTGAGTATTTTTATTATTGATCTTGTCGTCCCCAGGAGTTTTTCTTTATAGACTTTTCAAAGCTGCAGAAAATTCAAGGAGTCAATGTTTTTTTCCTTTGTCTGCATGCGTTGCGTTTTGCGCCTAAAAAAGCTTGCGAAAAGTTGTTTGGAAAATACTCTAGCAATATCTTCTATATTTGTATAATTGATCATGTCGTTCCTAGGAGTGTCTCCTTATAGACTTTTAGGTTAAATTAGGTTAATGCGGCTGTCGGACTATGGTCCGACACACTTAGACTTCTGATGGTCCATTGTGATACCGCATGATATCGTTTTTCTTCTCTAGGGTCCCGTATCTAGTAATTTTCAACCTGTGTTAAGCTGATCAGCATGTCTTCCACCCGGAAGATTTTATAAAAGCACTTATGTTTTTGAAATTAATCTCAGATATTTCGGTAAGATCCTCGATGAAGAGGTTTCCTAAGTGTTTCATTCTGAGTCTGCATAGGGCTGGGCAGAAGCAAAGAAGGTGTTCTGCCGTTTCCTCTTCTTCATCATCCCTGCAGCTCCTGCAGAAATCATTTTGTGTGGCTTTTAGCCTGCCGGCATCGGATCAGCATGCCACACTCTGTGCGGATGAATTTAAGTAGTTCCGAGGTTTTTTTATTGCTTATCACAGGCCATGTCTGGTGTGAGATACGACACTGTGGTGCGTTTTGCCAATGGATGCTGGCTAGTTTTTTTAAATAGTTTTTTATGTTCAGCTTGCAAGTTGCCATGGGCATACCGACGTTCACCTTTCCTGGGAGGAGAGGCGTGATGGTGCCCTACCTGGGTAACTCGTCCGCTATGCAGTTGCTACGATATCCCGGTGACCCGGAACCCATATTAGGCAGAAAGTAAACTGACTAGCCATCTCGTGGAGAGATCTGTGACAGTCTGCTATTGTACGGGAGTTCCTGCTCGTCGAGTAGATCGATTTAATACCCGCTTGGCTGTCACTATATATATTTCGGTTCCCTCTTTGGGGGCTTATGTTCCCTAAACAGTTTTGTGCTTCCTTTATGGCGTGGACCTCCGCTTGGAAGTCCGGGAGCCTGAATGACTTCCTGATATTTAATTGTTCGGAGTAAACGCCTCCGCCAAAGTGTCCTTCTAATTTGGAGCCATCTGTATAGAAGCAGATTGCGTCCGTTTGCCCGGTCGGCCCTGCTCCCATTCCTCTCTGTCTGGAATCAAAGGTTGTTTGACAGTATTTAAGGGATTTGCGAAGATCCGTTTTCCTCGGAATCGATTTATCATGCTGGAGAATTTTAGCATGGCCATAAACTTGGGCTTTCCACTGTCCGGTATCCCTCAGTCGAATAGCTGCCGACTTGGCCCTTTCCATGCCTGCTAAGTCCAGGCTAGGGAGGTTCAAGATTGCGTTCAGCGCTTCATTCGGGCACTAATGCACAATAGTATAAGATAATATGTCAAAAAACACCAAAGCTATGATTTGTTTCATATTATTTTTACACCAATTTTCCGATTGTTGCTATGGCAGCTATATGATTTATATATATAGTTATCCGATTTTGATAAAACTATAAAAAAATAAGACTTTTGGGAAAGATTCAGACCGATAGCTTTAAAACTGAGAGACTAGTTTGCGTGTGACAGACGGACTGACGGACATGGCTAGATCGACTCGTCTAGTGATACTGCTCAAGAATTTGTGTACTTTATGGAGTCGGAAACGTCTCCTTCACTGCGTTGCAAACTTATGACTGAAATCATAATACCCTCTGCAAGGGGATAAAAAGAAGGACAAGAACCCAAAACACAAAAAATAATTTTTCTTATAACTCAAATAATTTTTTTTTTTAAATTTGTACAATTAATTTACTTTACTTAATTTTGGACGTCACAGGTTTTCGCGGTTTGTGGGCGTTAGAGTGGGCGTGGCATATTCGCGTAACAAACTTGCGCTGCGTATAAAGCTACGGAATCTAAATCTGAAATCCCAATTCTCTATCTTTGATAGTTTCCGAGATATCCACGTTCATACTTACGATTTTTTTAAATTTGTGGGCGGTTTATGGGCGTTAGGGTGGGCGTGGCAAACTTTTTTTGGGTCAATCGATAGGTATTGATGAGAACATTACATTTCAGTTAAAATTTTTATTCTAGCATCAAAACTGTAGGAGCCACAGTTTTGGGCGGTTTGTGGGCGTTAGAGTGGGCGTGGCACTCATCAGGAATCTGCACGCCAAATCTCAATAGCCTAGCTCCCATAGTTTCCGAGATCTCAGCGTTCATCCGGACAGACAGACGGACAGACGGACATGGCTACATCAACTCGGCTAGTGATCCTGATCAAGAATATATATACTTTATGGGGCCGGAAACGCTTCCTTCTGCGTGTTACATACTTCTGACGAATTCTCTATATCCCTTTGGTCCCTTTAGCTGTGTAAAGGGGTATCTGATAGTCAAGGCACTCTACGAGAGTGGTGGAAGAAAAAAAAAAATTTTGGAAAAGTGGCGGTTTATTTCTCAACATAATCTCCTTTTAGCTCTATACACTTCACCCAGCGATTAACTCGTATGAAAAATACTTTTTCTCGAGGTCTGCAAAATAGGCCTCTGTGGCGGCGACGACCTCCTCATTCGACGCAAATTTCTGTCCAGCGAGTGACTTTTTCAAGTTTGGAAACAAAAAGAAGTCAAACGGGGCCAAATCTAGAGAATATGGTGGATGGGGTAGCAGTTCGTAGCCCAATTCTACCAATTTGGGCTCGGGGAGGGCGGAAGTGTGAGCCGGTGCGTTGTCATGACGGAAGAGCGCTTTTTTTCTTCGGCGAATGGGGCCGTATTTTCTGCAATTCGGCGGCGAGTCGGCCCAATAATTCGGCTTAGTACAGCCCTGTGACCGTTTGGCCCTTCCTTGAATCCCAAAAAAACGGTGGCCATCACCTTTCCGGCCGATGGGACAGTCTTCGCCTTCTTCGGAGCAGGTTCGCCGGGTGAAGTCCACTGTTTCGACTGTTCCTTGGTCTCTGGTGTGTACCAGTGGATCCATGTTTCGTCGACGGTCACGAAACGACGCAGAAACTCCTTCGGATTGCGCATTAACAGCGTCAAACGCTTATCTGAAGTGGTCTCACGGTTGCGTTTGTTGTCCGGAGTGAGCAAACGCGACACCCATCGGGCCGACAGCATTCTCATGCCCAAAATGTCATGCAGGAGATGACCCACGCGGTCTTTTGACATGCTCACTGTCTCAGTTATCTCGCGTATCTTTAATCGGCGCTCTGCCAATACGAGATCGTTTATTTTTGTCACGTTAACCTCCGTGGTAGCCGTTTTCGGGGCACCTGGGCGTGGCTCATCAAAATCCCACGTGCGACCACGTTAAAACTCGTTAAGTCAATTTTTGACTGTCACCATGGAAGGAGAAGAGTCACCGTACACAGCATGCAAGCGCTCTTTGATTTCGCTGCGCGATTTCTCTTCCAAAAAGAAGAATCACATTACAGACCATATTGCTCTTTCTCAATTTTTCTACACGCAGTCAAAACAAAACTACGAGTGCGATTCGGCTGAAATTTCGACAGTAGCCGTCTACGAGAATGTAGTAATAGTAAATTTCTCTTGCGATAGTGACGCAATCGGGCGGTGAGGCTAAGTACTTATCGGACTGCCCTCGTGCTATAGCGTTCTTCCATGTTTTGCTATTATTTACTTATTGTCCATTTTATATGCTCTTTCATACCCTTGCAGAGGGTATTATGATTTTAATCAGAAGTATGCATCGCAGTAAAGGAGACGTTTCCGACCCCATAAAGTATATATATTCTTGATCAGCATCACTAGACGAGTCGATCTAGCTATGTCCGTCTCTCTGTCCGTCTCTACGCAAACTAGTCTCTCAGTTTTAAAGCTGAAACTTTCCCAAAGGCCTTTTGCAGGTAGTATATAAGTCGGAACCAGCCGGATCGGACAACTATATCTTATAGCTCCCGTAAGAATAGTCGGAAAAATATTTTTTTTAAATTATTTCTTCGGTCTTTTTCAACATATAAACTCCTACGCCACTATGCCACTTCAAATATATCAACAACAATTTAAATTAAGTGGGACGATTTCTGACCGCTTAGAAGTATAGCCTGGAAAGCTAACCCAGGCTATACTTCTAAGCGGTCAGAAATCGTCCCACTTAATTTAAATTATATGGAAAGCTAACCCAGGCTATACTTCTAAGCGGTCAGAAATCGTCCCACTTAATTTAAATTGTTGTTGATATATTTGAAGTGGCATCCTTCTCGGCTAAATCATCTGGTCGTCCCCGGTTGGCTCGCCCCGGTTGATGCCCCCTTCGTTGGCACAAGGGTCGGTTTGCCCCTTACGCTTGTTGATACTGTTGATGTTGTCCTATGTCAGGCAGTACCGGTGCCGGTCATCGCATAGGATTCTTGATGAATTTGATCGGTGGGCACGTTCCCTCGCGCGTTGCGCTTAGGAGTGGTCCCGGGCAACGTTTCGGTAAAAAACGTTTTGTTTTTGGTAGCTGCTTGGTAGAAGGAGGTTTCAAGAAAATCAAACTCGGCTTGTAATTTTTGGGCTGCAGCCAAGGCGGGAGGTGTTATTTTCGTAAATAACAGCCACTTGATGTGCGATATTCTGTTTTTAATCTTATATTTCACTCACTCAATTAAGTTAGTTAAATAAGACTTAAAGATTAACCGATTTTTTTGTGTAGAATATGATTGCAAAGATAAAAAACTTTTTAGTTTATCGTTTTCCGCCGGAGTTTCGACACTCCAGTGTAGATTACATTAAAGAAAAAGTTTTAAATAACCTTAAATAAGTGGAAACGGGGTTGCTAGTATAACAAAGAAATCGATTTTTAGCCTTTTACTGCCTTTAACCATTCGGGCTGTCAGTTCCGTACACCCATCTGCGGTTTCTCGGCCGCTGGCATGTGATATGTTGTCATTGATGCAATAATTGCGCATCAAATAGTCATCGTAAAAGGATTATAAAGCAGGTCCTCCAATTTGGATCCATTAATACAAAATGAAAACGTTTCTGGTTGCGTTGGTCCTTTTGGTATATCCATTGAATTCACTAGACGGCACGAGACTGACTTCTAAGGCCTGCAATGAGTCTAACACTTCAATAGGTTCGTAGGAATATACTCATTTCTAAAAACAAAGTATTGTATGCCCATAACCTTCAGCGCTCTCGCAAATAATCAGTGGTCTGCGACTACCTTTACTGGCCATATTGGTACATCCAACTTCCACAGTATTTGACGAAAGCTGCCAGAACGACAGCGGCTTTCATGTTAATGATTTCCTACATCGGATTAATCAAATCTACTTTAAAACGATGATATTCAGCGACACGGAGCTCTTTTTTCAACACATTGAGAAGAATCTTCAAGGAGCCAACGAATGCGTCAGCCTGATTCTTGACGAGCCCAAGGAGCTGTTGCATAGCCTTTACGACCGACGCCTAGCCCATCGTCTTAGCTTGTTTATCTTCTATTGGGGAGCCCGTTTGCCACCCAGCTCTCGCGCCGTTGATTTCAGGGAGCCACTGCGAGCGGTGGTGATAACCTGTCCCCGCCAAAACGCTTTTCGCATCTATTACAACCAGGCCAGGCCCTGCAGCGCTAGTCAGCTGCAGCTGGTTAACTGGTATGACGGTGAAAATCTGGGTCTGCAACGGATCCCTGTTCTCCCAACTGCGGCATCTGTATACGCCAATTTTGAGGGTAGAATTTTTCTAGTACCTGTGTTTCATGTAATTCAGAACAATTCAAAAGAATTATGCACCAAATAACATGTCTTGGCTTGCAGTCTCCACCATGGTTTTGGGTCACCTATTACAATAACAGTTTCGAAGAGGAGAAGATCTCAAAAGTTTTTGGGAGCTCGCAGTATATCGAATTGCGAATCACGGGTGGTCGCGATCACTGTCTATTGAAGGTACTGGCCAAGCATATGAACTTTCGGTTCAAGTACATCGAGGCTCCGGGACGAACACAGGGCTCAATAAGGTCCGATGATGCCAGGGAGTCGAATGACAGTTTTACGGGTGGCATTGGAATGCTGCAATTTAGAGTGAGTAGTTGCGATTCTAAGATAAGCATGTAACTATTTTTCTTTTTCTCCGACAGCAGGCTGACTTTTTCTTGGGTGACGTCGGTCTAAGCTGGGAGCGCCGAAAAGCTGTCGAGTTCTCGTTTTTCACGCTGGCCGACTCTGGAGCCTTCGCCACACATGCCCCCAGACGCCTTAACGAGGCCTTCGCCATTATGCGCCCATTCAAGCCAGACATATGGCCATATTTAGTTCTTACGATTCTCTTCTCCGGTCCTATCTTCTACGGTATTATTGCCATGCCTTATATCTGGCGTCGACGTCGTGTCTTAGCAGACGTCGAGCATTTTGGGAAAAAAAATTTTTCCACATCATACATCAAGGAGACCATACCGCACAAATTAAAATTAAAGATAATGAAGATCCCGTCTGCGCAGCAGATGCCTTATCAACTGTTTGAGAAGTGTATCTGGTTCGCTTTACGCTTGTTCTTAAAACAATGTAAGTAATATTCTTTTATTAAGGATATATATAGTTATTTTGAGAGCATACATTGGGGAGATGTAGCGTAAATTATAACTACAATTTTTAATTGGTTTAATTGTTGTACATACATACCTATTGGTAACTTACCATGCACAATGTGTGAGGATGCGTGAAACACACCCTCCACATTTCGCCACTTCTATTCTTTCCTCCACGAAGGCATACAATTGGAGATTACGCCACGAAGGCCATTTATTTATAAGTTATAATATATAATATAATTATAAAATAAGTCGTTACGCCATGGTACAGCGGCACGAGCGTCGGCACGCCGGATCCAAGGAGTAAGTGGGACAGACAATAGCGATCAGACTGAGTGCGAGTAGGGGTAGTAGTAGTAGTACTAGCGAATAATAAAGACAAGAGAGAATGAGGAAGTATGTGTCCGTGTGAATTTGTGCATTTTTCGGGAACCCACGTGCAGTAATGTGTGCTGGTCGGGAATCGTGTTGCGCCAGAGAAGCTTACTCAGTGCAAACGACCACCCGATCGCCCACAAGGGGCATAGGAAAGGATCGCCTCTGGCCACCCTCTCCTGGGAACCCCGCCCAAAATACGGTTTAGGTAGTCGCGAGCCACTTGCAGTGATCTGTGCCGGTCGGGAATCGTGTTGCGCCAGAGAAGCTTACTCAGTGCAAACGACCACCCGATCGCCCACAAGGAGCATAGGAAAGGATCGCCTCTGGCCACCCTCTCCTGGGAACCCCGCCCCAAATACGGTTTAGGTAGTCGCGAGCCACGTGCAGTGATCTGTGCCGGTCGGGTATCGTGTTGCGCCAGAGAAGCTTACTCAGTGCAAACGACCACTCGATCGACCACAGGGAGCACAGGGAAGGGTCGCCTCCGGCCATCCTCCCCTCGGATCCCTACCCCCTACCCCAGTAGCTTGTGAGTCGCACATCCAGGGGGAACGGCCACGCCGTCCAGTTTTGTTGGTATTTTCTCAGGGATCGGCTACGCCGCTTGTTTCGTTAGTATTTTCGCCGGGAGTAGCCCCGCCCTCTACTATACTTTTCGGGTGCCGTGTTGCGCTAGAGCTGCTTACTCGGTGCACCGCGGATACTCTGGCCTCCTTTCTCCACAAATCCCCGCGGCAACTCCCCGTCCAGTTTCGTCCCAATACTTTTCTACAAATTTAACTGTAGAGGACCCTGGCCGGACTGAGTTTTATCCCAGCCCATGAAAAAGGTCCTTACAGTTTGGCGCCCGAACAGGGACGAATAAGGACGACTAGATATCCTTCAGGAGAGTTGGGTTTTTACCACCAACCGCAAGGCCTAAAGACCCATGTCCAGTAGATGAGATTTAGGGAAAGATAGGAGACCGCAGGAATAGTTAGAGTAGGGGATCCCGTAACGCTGCACCCGCCAACGCCAACCCACTCCCGGAGCGCCACATAGCCACGTGGCCTCCCACGAAGCCGTCCAGCGCATACCACGCCCCGAGCAGCGCCCACAGAGCGGCCCAGTAGCGCCCAACGAGCGCCCAGCGAGCGGCGTTAGTGCACCACCAGCGGCACCCTCCCACGTGCCCACCAGGAGCACGCACAGCGCGACCACCGCGACCTCAGCAGCGTCACCCGCGCCGCCAGCCGCGTTATCAGCAGCGCAGACCCAGCAGCGTCCCGCGCCGTGCAGTGCCACCTCCGTGGCCAATAGGTGCCCACAGAGCGCCACCAGCAGCGCCACCAGCAGCGCCAACCGCGCCGGACAACGAGCGTCACCAGGAGCGCGCAACGAGCGGCCCCGCGCCCTCAGCAGCGTTCAGCGCCCATCGGGCGGCGTCATTTGCACCACGAGCAGCACCCACCGAGTGGCCACCAAGCGCCACCAGCAGCGACCTCAGCGGCATCCGCGCCCAACGCACAGCCCTACGAGCGGCTACCACCGAGCGCCATCAAGCAGGGCAACAGCAGTGCCAACCGAGCGCTCACCACACCGATCAGCGCTGCCGCGCGTCAGTCGCGCCACGGGAAGCGCCCACCCACGTGTTCATCAGGAGCGCCCAACGATCAGCGCCGCCGCTCACCAGCCGCGCTCACCGAGCGCCATCCGGAGCGCCAGCCTCAGCAGCGCCCACCGAGCGGCTTCCGCGCCCTGAGTAGCGTTCAGCGCCCATCAGCAGCGCCCATCGAGCGGCGTTAGTGCCCAACAGGCGCCCTCAGCAGCGCCAACCGAGCGCCAATCACCGCGCCCACAGCAGCGCCCAGCCGCGCCCTCAGCAGCGCCGCCGCTCACCAGCCGCACTCACCGAGCGCCAACGGGAGCGCCAGCCGCAACCACATCGGTCAGCCACTGCCGCACGTCAGCAGCACCCGCCGTGCGCCCGCCGCATCACGCCCCTGGTAGCGCCCAGCGCCCAGTCACGCCGCTAGGAGCGCTCACCGAGTGATCCCCAGCAGGGCCATCGGCAGCGCCACCGCGCGTATGCCCAGTGTCTCGGGAAAGAAAACGTCAGAGGACGCAGAATCAAAGCCAGATCCGGCAGCTGCCGGACTGGAAGAGGACAGGTTTTTCACCGCATCCGGGGGTGATTTCACGACCGCAAACATGGGGGTCAGGTGGATCGCCTACCGCCGGAAGGACGAGCTGCAGGCTCTGCTAAAAGGGTTTGGACTTGACCCGAACGGCCAAGTAGACGAACTACGACCACGATTGGCATCCTTCATCGGAGGAGGAGACCACAGCCCGGCTCTACGAGAGCGCTTTGCCGCACTGGAGGCAATATACCCGGAAGCACCCACCACAGCGGAAGACCCACACCTCGACCCCAGAACCTTCTCGCTCCAACGCCCTCTGGAGCCAGGAGGCCGGCGATATCCGCGATATCCGGACGGAAAACGGCCAGGGTCGCCGCCCACGTCGGGAGCCCGCGGTGACCCACTCGGTGCTCCCCCATCACTAGATTCCCCACTCCGCCTGGCGGGGGGGGGCGGATTGTTGCCAATGTTACCATCGAGGGACAACCTTTCTCGGCAACAATTGACACAGGAGCCTCGCGAAGCTTTGTCAGCGAAGCGCCTAGACTCAGGAAGAAACAGCAGAGAAGTCCGCTCCCGCATCTCTCTGGCGGATGGATCCCAGAAAGAGGTGACCAAGGCCCTCCGGGCGCAAGTCGGCTTAAACGACCGACCGATCGGGCTGACGCTACTAGTCCTGCCAACGATCCTGGATAAAGTGATTTTGGGCATCGACTTTCTCTGCGCCATCAGCGCAACTCTAATCTGCGGGCAAGTCTGCTTGCAACTAGCACCACCTGCCACCCGGAAGGTAGAACCAACCCCAGATACGCGGGCGACTCCTACGGCCGCAACCGCGCAATCCCCAAGCACACCCGGTACGCCGCAATCATCGCAAGGCACCGAGGGGGGGACCAAAACAGTTCCAAAGCCTGCTCCGAGGACTCACATAAAGCCAAACGCGCCAGTGCGGAAGACAAGTCCTGACCCCTCGGGACCCGCGTTGTCAAGGAACCCGTCAGGCGACACCGCGGGAACCTGCACCACCACGGAGAACAGGTACGGCCTACAACCGCAGGCGGACGCCGCCACGGCAAAGGAGAAGAACCCGTTTTGACGCCCCTCCACGAGCGCCCTGTTGGCCACCACAACGGTGGAAACTCACACGCGCAAACCAGCCACCTCACCTGGGCCTGGGGAACCACAACGGAAAATCGGTGTATATCAGCTGCCAGCCCAGTCGGACGCAGCCAGCGCACGGAAGCACAACCCGTTCCGGAGCCACTGTCCCCACGGACACCTGGCCACTGTAGCGGAGGACCCAACCAGACTACAGGTGACCGAAGAACCTCACGCCGAGGAAACCTCCCACTTTCTGCAGGGTGAGCTACAGCTTTTCGACGAGCTAAGCGAGCCAACGGAGATCGCCGAGCATACCATCACTCTCCGGGATAATAAGCCACTAAAGCAGCGGTATTATCCAAAGAACCCCGCCATGCAGAGCATAATCAATCAGCAGTTGGACGAGCTATTACGAGACGACCGAATCGAGCCCTCCCGTAGCCCGCACAGTGCCCCGCTGGTGCTCGTGCGGAAGAAGACAGGGGATATGCGGATGTGCGTCGACTATCGACAACTCAACGCACATTCCATACCCGATGCGTACCCACTCCCACGAATCAACCACATATTGGAGCGGCTACGGAACGCCCTGTTCATCTCAACGCTGGATCTTAAGAATGGATACTGGCAGATCCCTATGGCGGAAGGAAGCCGCGAATGCACGGCTTTCACCGTCCCTGGGCGTGAACTCTTCCACTGGAAAGTCATGCCCTTTGGACTGCATTCTGCCCCAGCAACGTTCCAGCCAGCCCTTGACAGCGTCATCGGGCCGGATATGGAACCCCACGCCTTCGCCTACTTGGATGACATCATCGTCATCGGGGCGACATGGGAGGAACATGCCAGGAATCTCAGGGAAGTCTTCCGACGACTGCGGGAAGCAAAGTTTCGGCTGAATCAAGGCAAGTGCAAGTTTTTCCAGAAATAGCTGGTATACCTAGGCCACTTGATCAGCGAAGAAGGCATCAGGACGGACCCAGATAAGATAGCTGCTATACAGGGACTACGCCCGTCAAGGAACTCCGTCGCCATTTGGGCATCGCATCTTGGTATCGACGCTTCGTCCAGGATTTCGCCTCCATCGTTCAGCCCATGTCCCGACTCCTCAGGAAGGGGGTCAAGTGGAGCTGGGAGGAGCCCCAACAGCAGGCATTTTAGACACTCAAAGCCAGAATAACGGCCGCACCGGTACTGGCCTGCCCAAATTTTGAATACAAGTTCCAGCTTCAGACGGATGCAAGTGATGCAGGACTTGGAGCAGTCCTCACTCAGAGCATCGATGGAGAGGAAAAGGTCATCGCCTACGTAAGTCGACGCCTCGAGCGAGCCGAGGAAAACTACTCCACTACCGAAAAGGAGTGCCTCGCCATAGTTT